CAATGACCAATGATGTTGTGTTCGAAATCCTTGATGACCACAAAATCATTAAACAACTTTATTCTCGTTTTCAAACCGAAACTGATGTGAAAACACGCCAAAAAATAGCAAATACGCTTATTCGCGAAAGTAATAACATATTTAATTTTCTATAATTTAAAAATAATTTAATTTCTCAAATTCTTATTACGTCATTTGAATATAAAGTTAACGTCCATGCCGCGGTCGAGGAAATGGTTTTCTATCCTGCAATTGGCAAATACTTGAATGATGGACAAGATCTCGTTGATCATACTCGCCATGATCACGAAGTTGTTAAAACGGCCCTAGATAAGCTTGATTGTATTGCTGTTATCGATCCTGAATATGAAGAAAAATTGCGCAAAGCTATGAAGGTTTGTTTTAGATGACTGAATACGGGAATCTGTAATCTTTGCTACTACTACTACTATTTTTATAGAACCTCTTTGAGCATGTTCGCGAAGAGGAAGAGGAAATTCTCCCTAAATTTAAAAAAGTCGTCAGCGGAAAGATCTTGGAAGAACTCGGCAAAAAATTTAACGAAGCGAGAAGACACTACGTTCCTCCTAGGTAAAGAAGTTCACGTATTTTATATGCCCCATATTTTCTTTCATATACAATATGTTAATCTTCTTTCTACTCTTGATATAGACCTCATCCATCCGTCAGCGAAACCGAAAAGGTAACGAAACTTAATTTTTATTACACTTTTTGTTCTATGCTCTACTTTAAGGCTTTCATTTCTTACCTCTCAGTCGTGCAAAGAGAATAACGCTCAAGAAAATGCTACGGTTACTGACAAAAATGAACCATGCGAATATGTAGACACAGGTCAAGTCTGTTAGAATTGAGCAATACTCTAAATTTGTCATTACATAAATGTATATAATCTGAGTAGCCACAAACAATAAATTAAAAAAAAATAAATGATATAATCCGAATATTGATATAATATTGAATCAATTAGATGGTGACATGTTTATCGCTCTAACATTAAGAAAATTAATTCGAACTTCTTGAATAATTTTAATATAACTTTCTATATAGAAATTTGTGTTCCGGATGGGACGTTGACAGATAATGCTAAAGGATAGTCCCATCCTAGAAAGCCCGGAGAAAAATCTCATGAGCGTCATTAATGTCTCTATCAATAGATACAGTAGCTCTTAAATTCCTCACTTGAAAACCTTTCTTCCCCCCTAAAATTTTGTTTGAGGAACAGATAAAGAGTCCTGTGACATAGTGATATAATGTTGCTTTCATTGTAATGAAAGTCTGACAAATATGTGAAATTTCGAATATACTAAATAATACTAAAAATACGTATCTTCATCATTACTTGATCATCGGGATAAAATAGCAATTACAACATGCATATGTATGCATATCGATATACACTGAACATCGGGCAATTTCCATATTCATTAACACGTCCGATTCGATCGCTGATTGCCATAATGAAAAAATAGATATCATTTTATTATAGAATTCTGAAGAAGTCACCACACACACAGCGTGGTCTGAATTGTGGGAAAATGTAATATCCCTTACAATAACATTTTTGGTGCTGTAACACCGTCTGGAACAAAGTTTTTTAGTAGTTTTATATGGGATAGAATAACACTTGGATACAGTAAAGTTATTCGACCCTATCATGTTATTGACTGCATGCGATTTGATTTACTTAAAAAAGATTGTTATATTGCATTATGTAATCATTTTAATCGCCGATTTAGTCGCTTTGATTTGTGTGAAAAACACGCAGAACGATCTTGGCTAGCAAAGGTCCAACGCCAGAAAATTCTTATAATCAATATTGTGCTTGTCGCCGTAATTGTATCCATGAATAAAGAAAAAGAATTATCTGCTCTATTATGAGCCCAAATGGTCGCTATGACAAGAAAGCAATAGTATGCTCCAAAGAATGCATCGGCTATTATCGTTACGAACATATAGAATACGACTGTTGAATCTCCCGTCATCGTAAAGAGATTATGATTTAAAAGGATATAATCTTGCCGACCTTTAATAGATAGAATGAAAAAGTTCGATATTTTAGTTTAAATTCAAAACCTTCTCTTTTTTTATTGAAATATTAGCTTTCTTACCTAGTATTATGTTGATACTTTGAATAAATTTTAATGTTCCGTTTGACCACGATCTTATTTGCGTTGACACATATACACGGAATATTGTCTCTGTCAGAACATATGTTAAGACAGCTTTAATCTCAAAATCGGATTTTATAAATTTCTGTAAAAAATTATTAAAGAAATGTTTCAGAATATATTGTAATTGCTTGTATATGCTCTAAATAAAACTTACACGTGTTTGATAATAATACAAAAGGTAAAAACTCCCTAGTAAACTATAAGTGTTGCATAGAGTCAACCCTAACCAGTGAAGTTTTCCCAGTCTGCTTCTTTGAATCGGGGGAGGAAGTGGTTTCTCGTCCCAAGAGTCTTGCTCGCTTATTAATTCATTGCCATCCTCGCCGTTATTTTCTATTTTTTGTATTTTATGTTCACCACTAGTCAGTGAAGTCGTCTCTTCTATAGATCCTTGATAAAGATCCAAATTACTGTCACGCACGTCTGAAAATATAAGTTTGGAAAGTAACGAAGAATAGGAATTTGTGGTAAATTTAAACACATTCATGGTAGAAAAATTCCCTCGTCGAATATAATAACCTAGAGGAATAACGGGGATGCAAGTTATTAAATATATTTTGTAAAGTCAACAAAAATGTGGGATAGACCTATGAAACGCACTGTCCTATGGATCGATAAGTAGAAAATGAACAACCCTTTATAGATTCAATCTAAATTTCATCTTGACAATGAGTTAACACACATTCAAGAACGATGAAACAGAGCACAAAATTCGGAGATCCGGGATAATAATTAAAAAATAAATTTTAGTCATTTATAATTAGTATCCCTTCTATACGTACACTACATTTCTAATTACATGTACATGTACAGTGGTCGACATAAATATCCGGAATTTATTATGACAGGTAAGACATTTTATTTTTATTAACATGCGCGAAAATTTAGTACACACATTCTCAAATACGACTACTAACTATTTACAAAAATTTAATAGTCAAGTTTTTTCCCTCCCGTCCAATCACCGCCGAACACGATCTTCGCTCAAACCCGCCCATTCCGTTTGTATTATCGTTTGAACTTCCGGTTTTTTTTTGATTAACCATAAATTTACCTCCTTTTCCACCTTTCCCTTAAGTATAGCCCACAAATTCTTGATGGGATTGATATCCGGCGAGTAAGAAGGCCAATCAAGAATTCAAAAACCATGGTGATGAAAAGATTGATTATTTTGCCTGCATTGTGGATTGGAGAGTTGTCCTGTTGAAAACACAACCTACAATCTGCTACAGAAATATGGGGAAAAAGGTGTGTTTCAAGGATCTCTTGATATTTTTTAGCATTGAAGTTTTCAGTGAACAAGACAAGTGCAATTGGTCCTTGCACACTAAAAGCACCCAAGCATGAATCTTATAGGGATGCTTCACCATACTTTTATGTGGTCATGATATTCCATGATGGCATCTTATTAACTGAGTATTTCTGAATATTTGGAGGGTTGTTTCATCAGAGAAAATTGTGTGAGACTAATTTTGATGGACATGTTTCTGTGCCCATTCAAGATGAGCTGCAATGTGTAAAAGAGGAACCCGCAGTGGATGACAAATATCAATCAAAGATTTTTTTAAGGTACGTTTAATTGTACGAACAGAAACTTTCAAGTTAGGATCTTTTTGTTTAAGTCTTTCAGTCATTTCAGCTGCAGTGGTAACATTATTGATCTGCACCAATCGACCAAGGATGTGACGTTATTCAACTGTGAGAATCGGGGGTCTTCCAGGTCTGGGAAGTGGCATGATTTTTTAATCCGATTGATTATATCATACACCATAGACTTAGGAAAACCTGTTATTCACCTAATTTCTGCAGATTTCCGGATATTATTTGCCCAAAGCTGACTTACCACCATTCTTTGTGCTTCGTGCTTGGAAATGGGTGGCATTTTTTTTTATTTTTTTGCCGGCGAGTGCAAAAACTGACGGCAAAAAATGTTTACGTTGTTGTGTTTATTATTGAACAAAGAAATCCCAATTTTATACATGTATTAGTTTAAAATTGGTAACGTTTTGTGCACCAGATCGACATTCCGAATATTTATGTCGTCCACTGCACATGACATGTAATTCATTAATCATTATCTCCCTTTTTAGTCGCAAATCGTTTCATGTTACTACCACATATATTTTAATATGTAATTCTATTATTTTTCAAATTTAATGCAAGGTAACATATTTCGATCCAAGCTTTGGGATTATGTTGATTCGATCCAAGCTTTGAAATTATGTGAACTTGATATCAATGTTTGTGATGTAGTATCAAAAAATGTATAAAAGATTCAAAAAGCAATTCACGATCTCTAAATATATTAGTAACACATAAGAAATTGTAACATCTTTAACATCTCTTAATGGCATTGAAAAATAGCGACCGAATCGGTCGGGTTTTGGGGCATATTCTAATTCGACCCGAGTATAAAAATTAAAATATAAAAAACTCGGGTTGGCATTCGTTTAACCCATATTCGACTCGACCCGACTATAATTTAATTCGACCGACTCGAATGTTGATAAAATAATAAAATATAAAAGCATTAATTTAAATATTGTATCCGTTTTAAGAATACATCTTTTGTCAGGTCAGTTTTACAATAAAAAACTGGAACACTTGTTGCTTTATTAAATTAATTTATTAGTTAATATTTAAATATTTTATAAAAGTAACAAACATTTTTTACCTGTGGAAATTCCATTTCAGTGAAGACATGCATATAAATTGAATAAATCATATAATTATTATAATATATACTTATCTTATATAAAAAGAACATCCTGATCTTGTACTGCTCAAGAAGCTTTTAAATATAACTTTAATTTTTACTTTTTATCATATTTTCATCTTTCTTATTATTATTATTATTGTTGTTGTTATTGTTATTGTTGTTGTTGTTACTGTTATTGCTATTGTTATTGTTATTATTATTGTTATTATTATTGTTATTGTTGTTGTTATTATTATTGTTATTATTATTATTATTGTTATTGTTATTGTTATTGTTATTATTATTGTTATTGTTATTGTTATTATCATATTTTCATCTT